AGGTTTTCAGATGTCCCCTCTTTATATGGTATAACTGTAGATGACTTATATTCTCTCTTATTTATGTTATTATTACTAGTTTCACAATTAACTTTATTTTTCGTTTGGCCTTTTTCGATCTTCTTAATGAATTTTAAAGGATAGTTATTTAACACCAAAGCCTCTTCTATCTGTTTTATTTCATCATTTAGGTCTTTTCTTGTGCTACTTAGTGCCACTGCTCGGTTTGTTAAACACTTAACTAAGCCTGCCTTAACAGTTAACGGATGAGACGAATTAAAGTCTAAATATGTATTAGAATGCGTTGGTTTTCTATAAACACTAGTGTGAAGTTTGCCTTCTATTCGTTTTATCTTACAATCTAACATAGCTAATTCTCCTTGTTCATTTTCTGATTCAAATGTGAATCTTATTCCCTCCACTAGTGAGTTTATGTGTATCAAGAAGCTAGAGATATGTTGTGTTTTTAAGACTGTGAAAGTGTCATACACATACCTCCACTATATTATCTATGGAGTAGGATTAAATGTATTTAGAGCAGTATTTTCCCAGCTGTCCATAAATATGTCGGCTACGATAGGGGATGTTGGTGATCCATCCCATTGCTACACCTTCTGTTTGTCTATATATTTTACATTGGAATGTAAAGATAGATATGAGGCGTAACTGAATCCCAAAAATAATTTGTTCAATGGGCAGCTTTATCCTATGATTGAGTTCAGGATCCGCAGTTAGTTCTTTTTTAACTGCTTCTAATGCCATATTGACTGATATGATTATGAGCAGTAATAAATTGTGCTCGAAACGTGGTCATCAGTAAACATTACTGTATAACACTGTGAGACTTTATCAGAACAAACATTTTCCCATAATAGTTTCGTTTTAGACTGCTGTGGATTAAAGAGTCATTGAATAACTTTTCCAGAATGGTGATAAATCCCATTTTTTTTTCAAAGGTATTTTTTATTCCTTTGTTGTCTTGCTTTTCATGCTTTGTCGATTATTTCATCTGTCCTATTTTTCCCTCAATTTCTTAATCCTCTATTTTCAAGATTCTTTCAGAAGAGATACCACCTACAATGTACGATGTACCATGATGAGTTATTGTCAGTAACACACTGCACCGTACTAGCATCACACTGAAGTACATTTTCTCCTTTTTGTTTTAAATATTGACTTAATTATATTAATATAATGGCTTTTTTTTGGTGTTCATAATCACGTGTCTAATTTTTAAACTTCCTATATACACTTTACCTTTTGGCCTATAATTATGATTTGATGAATCGATCAATTAGTCAATCACAGATAAGTGTGATCATTTACAGCACGTGTCCTATAGACAGATATTGCTGATCATTAATTCGTTTTAAATATATGTACGTATATTCGCCCGTTATAACTTTTAAAGGTTCATTTATGTGCATGCGTGTGTTGTCCGGTAATCTCACCATCAATACTTTGGGTTACAAGACTTATGGTGAACCACAATGGTATTACAATTAACAGTTTGTGTGGTGTCAAGATCAACATAGGGACTAACAGCATTGTCTGTTCTTGATTCAGAATACCGTATTACACTTTTACAAGGGAAGATGAAAATAAAATAATAAAAATTTGAAGAATGCTAGTGGGATGATAGCAGGCTGTTGCTAGCCAAAATGGTAGACACTAGTTTACGTCAATGGGTATGTCGCAAATATTGGTCATGAGAAAATTAGAACAAAGACTGACTCAACAACCAATCACAGCAGCCTTTGCGTAGGCGGTCACAGTTAGCATGTAGATGATCTGACATTCAAGAAACAGTCACAAAGAGATACAAGGTCAACTTTCTGTAAGAAACAACCAATCAGAAGACTGTGTTTGTTTGCCTGAATAAGCTATAATAATGTACATGAAAATACATAAATACGTGTTGATTTCCTTAATACACAATCTGCTACTTGACTCTTACCTTCTGTCGTTACACCAGTTGTTGTGTAGACCCCAACTAAGTCGCATACCGTTCGTTACGTAAGCGATTACTTTTAACTTTTAACTCGTTCTTCTAATAGATACAGTAAACAGAAGTAATCGTGGTCAAATACACGTAACTTTCACAAATTCCTGATACTTCATATAGAAATGCTTGACAGCAGCTTTTTTTACTTTAATCTGCACATTAGGAACTAGTGTGATGTGTCGACTCCTTTCTGTGGTTCAGACTGAATTCTATCAGTCAGTCAGGCTTGTAATGTGGCCACCATTCCACTAGGTAGGTAGCTCACCATCACGGTGCACATTGATTTGATTATAATTAGGTGGTTGGGGGCAACTGGCAGGAAGCTGTGCTTGACCTAGATTTCTTGCTAGTTGGCAGTTGTCAGTATCCTCCAACCGTCTCCTAGAATTCTTCAACTTCTTCAATCATCATGTGATTCTATTTAAAGAAGCATTTAATAGATTTCTTTCTTTCAATGCATGAAATGCACAGATTGGATCATCGCGATTATTAAAAAGATGGTTACACCGAAGGAAATTTTTCTTTTCGACAAAGACATCAACTAGATATGACAGCTAAACATTCGTGTTTTTATGATAAATGGGGGTGAGAAAGTCCCAGAATGATTTCCGGTCAAAGGTTAAATTAATAAAATTACAAAGTGAAATAAACAGGAAGATTGGGTAGAATAGACATAGTAAGATCATAATTACTCGAAAACTTGACTATTTGTACAAATTATGGATTAAGGACAGTAACAACAAAATGGGTAGCGAGTTCAGACATATAAAAATAAAAACAACATCGACCAAATCTAGCAATGCAGATAGGAATTACAAAACGCGAAAATAGTAGAAATAAACAAGAAAGTTGGACTAGAAAAGTAATGGGGGTAATCATTGTTGGTTGGATTGACTTTTCATGATGGCCACGGTAGGGATAACAGGGCGACGTATTTCTTCTGAACACAGCGTGGGCTTGAGCTTTTGGGTCGCCAATGCCTTATCTATTCCTAAATGCATTGATTTCACTCCCCTTGATAGGTTTGATCAGATCTTGTATATATGATTTTGAAAAACTTTCAAATGGAGCTGAATGTCTTGTACTATTCACTAAATGTTCTGTTATCGTACTCTATACATTCTAGCGTTCTCTCTTTACTCAGCATGCTGGATAGTGTTACTGGGCGCGTTTTACAAACGGATGTATGGTACGGTGGGTCACATCGATCGTGATTACCCCACTACCTTTCTTGTCCAACCTTCCTGTTTACTCCTGTTATTTTTACGTCTTTTATTCCTATCCGCATTACTAGATTTGGTTAGTTTTTTTAATTTTTATATGTCTGAACTCGCTACCCATTTTGTTGTTACTGTCCTTAATCCATAATTTGTACAAATAGTCAAGTTTTCGAGTAATTATGATCTTACTATGTCTATTCTACCCAATCTTCCTGTTTATTTCACTTTGTAATTTTATTAATTTAACCTTTGACCGGAAATCATTCTGGGACTTTCTCACCCATTTATCATAAAAACACGAATGTCCAGCTGTCATATCTAGTTGATGACTTTGTTGAAAAGTAAAATTCTCTTCGCTACAACCGTTTTCTTTTAATAATAATTGCTATGATCCGATGTGTGTATATAGTGGTCAGTTGGATGTCACGTCCATATATATATATAAATCCAACAGTTTGATGAAAATCGAACATGCTGTATTATTTTTACTTGAGCTTCATAGATTTTCAGTTATCAACCTATTCTATTCTATCCGAAGAGATCTTCAATGTAAATGAACTGGTCAATGCTTACAACAACTTCATTCCCTACACCTTAATGTCTTTGACTTCAATAATATGTTTTAATTGACACTTAGTGAATATATTCATGGAGGTATTCAATCAGTGTATATTTATTCCAATTTCACCTTACTACAATTTTGTCACTAATGTTGTAACGACAAAAGACAAGGGTCAGTCAACAGATCGTTTATTGAGGAAATCAACAGATATTTATATATTTTCATGCACATTATTATTCGTTATTATAAGCAGAGAGACAGAGTCTTCTGATTGGTTGTTTTCTCCTGCTGAAAGTTATTCTGTCATCGCTTTGTGGCCATTTCTTTGAAGGTCAGACCATACATTGCTGTCTACCAATTCGCCTAGCAGAGAGCTCTCTCATCAGAATGTTACATTCCTGAAATTTTCACTATATAACAGTTGTTGTAATTATCCGAATGCTTTAATCCTGAATTATTTTTAAGACTTTTCTGAACTCAAGCTCAGAATAGAACACAGTCAATCCAGTCGTGTTTACAAACTTTTTGATTTTTATTTATTTTATTTTATTCGTTTGCGTTCCGATGGTTTCAAGCATGAGCTTTGAGGTTTCAGTGGGAGTGGTTTTATTTCTACAGGTTGGGGGGGGGGTGTTATTCTCACACCTAACTTTCCCTGTTTACCGGTCTTGCTATCGGTTTAGCGAGGTTCTGGAGTAAGTCGATCGGGAGAGCATGCTACCACTGAAGGGCTTGCACACCAGACAACTTCATTTACTGTTGACGGCTCACTTTTTTTGCTCAGAACGCAGCTCTCGATTGGAGACGGACAGACTGCACATGAAGTCTCGTGGTGAGTTGACACTATGGCGACACACTGATTTCCTACTTGGGGTGGTGACGTTGAGATGTTGTGTACGGAAAATCAGCACGGCAAATTGATGCATCCATCGACCAACAGTGAGGTTGATGAACAGTCTTATTATATTAAAATCACAACATTGCGTTCAGTGTCTGGGGAACAGTGTGGGAAAACTCCATTGGATTTCTAGTCATAAGTAAATGTCACTCTTAACATATACTTGTTGTACTGTGCTGTATTGTACTGAGAATTCTGCATATTCCATTGCATTTCTCAACATCACTTTTCAAGAATGATAATCTTCCTGGATTCTAATACTGTTTTTTCTTTTCTTTATATGTGTCTTGTCTTTTTTTTTTAATTCAAAACTAGTACTCTGGCAATCCTTATTTCTGAATTGAATGCTCAAGTTCCAAATGACACATCATACTATCCATTGAAGTCAACAAATGAGGCTTCCTGTTCTGATGGTTTAGTTGAATCGAATACATCAGCTTGCAGTGATCGTTTAAAGCATAATTTATTGAAAACTTATGTTGAGGTAAGTAGGATTACTATAATTTTTGTCTAGCGCCATATAATGCAATATTTGTTACGATTGACTGTTACTACTAATGAGTAGCTTGAACTTACCAAGTAAAATTTCACCGATTTATCTTGGTATATATTGTGTTAAGCATGTTGGGCCACTTGCCTTCGTAATGAAGTTTTGACTGAAGTAAGATTAAGGGAGGAAGGTGATGGAGATGGTGGAACCAATAATATGACACTGGATTATTCGTGAAGCCTCTGACTGTTCATTTCATCCATCCATGTGAAGAAGTATCGGCAGTTTATTAGCTGGAATATTCAAGTTATTGAAAATCAAATTACTAGGGACTGTTTGATGTGCAGATATATCCACTTTCTATCATTGAAATTCTAAGCATTGCTAGTTGGTCCATCTATTTGTCAGTAGACCTTAGATGCAATTTTACTTTCTGCATTTGTCAAGATTCGAGTTTGTGTAGAAGTTTGCAGGATCATTTCAAAAATTATATTATTACTGTTATTATTATTATTCCTTTGGGTTCGAAATGGAACACACGGCTTCAACAGTACATCTTCACTTTGCTCTGTTTTCCACTGTCCTGTTTAGCTGGCCCCAGCATCACCCATAGTCTTTCATCTCCTCCTCACATGATATCCTCCATGAAAATGTCATACACACATCCGAATTTTTGCTATGGTATGATGCGTAATGTCATTCGACGGTCCCCTTAGAATGTGTCCTATCCATCTCCACTTTCTTCTGCATATTTGTTGAGCAATAGGTTGTTGGTTGGATTGTTCAACTGCAAAGTTTCTTGGTGCTAATTATTTATCTTCAACATGTAGCTAGAGAAGATGGCAGTTGTTGATAAAAGTTTACTGTTGCCTGTTGGAAATGCTTTTCGTGACACACACACACACACACACAGGCAAAGTTTCTGACCCGTATAGAAGTGACTGACTGACTTAACATTGGCGTTGAAATTTCGAATCTTGTTCTTCATGCTGAAAATGAGTGCAGAAGATTTCCATCCTGATTTCAGAGTGATCAAGATATGCCTTGATTTCTGCTTCTGGATGATTTTGACATCTTCATCCGTGCCATGTGTCTATAGTTGAAATAATGTTTCGTAGGTAATTGAAGGAAGAGTAGCCTCTATCAAATTCCTCCCGTTGATGGTGACTGGTACTGTTTGTTGCTGCCATCGGTTGGCTGGTTATCTACTCCTCTGTTTTCTCTATGTTCCTGTCTTTGCTGGATGCTTCGTCAGTCAGTTTGTTGCTTTTTGCTTGTAAGTCTTTGAGAAAGGACTAGAGACATCATACTAGTTACTAGTGTCCACTCAAAGTACACTGAAAATTTCTTTACTATGCGTTCACATACTGTCTGAAATAAAGCCTTATTATTATTATTATTATTATTATTATTATTATTATTATTATTATTATTATTATTATTATTATTATTATGAAACATTAAATCATTTAACGCTAGAGATAGAACGCAAACATCTCTAGTTGAAGACAGCTAAGCTTTTCATATTTTCTACTATTAATGATCATGTCACAGGCGTAAGGGAAAGGATAGAGCGAACTACCGCCCAGTACACACTCCTAATCGTTGACTGCAAAGCAGTTAGTTTGATTTCTATTATAAACTGGGATTTGTATTCCACACCCGAGTTATTACCAGTTTTAGCTCTTCATTTTCAGGGTTCAAGGTTCTCTTTTCTAATATGTCAAATGTTAGAAGTCAATTTTAATTAAGTGCTTTACTTCACTTAGATGCCTTACCTCTCCATCAATGTATCTGAAATGGTTATATGCGACCTTTCAGTATTGCGTCTGTGCCTAAACTCAATCTTCCAGGTGAACTGCTTGAAGTTGTTGATAAGTTTGTGTAATAGGGTAGTTGTGTGAGTGCTGGTGGAGGGGTGATGGATGAGATTCCAACCCTGTCACGAAGGCTAGGGTGGCATACATCAGTTTGAGCCACGCCTAGTGCTGTCGTGACGTTAGCCTGCCTGTAACAGGTCGATCATACAATTCTTCCGTGTGGTTTGTCTTGCTGTATGCCTGTGAAACCTGGCCTCTCCTATCTGAGTATATGCTGCTGCTCTGTGTATTCGACCGTCGCTATCTCCGCAGGATTGATTGCGTTCGATGTCATAATCACATGAGTAATTCTGAGGTTCGGTGGTGTGTTTGAGCACAGTGGAGATCACAGTTTGTTGAGTGTCGTCACCTGGAAACATCGGCTTTGGTGGCTTGGATATGTGCTGTGAATGTCATCCCAAAGGCTTTCGTACCGGTCTCTGTTCGCTAACCCAGGGATAGTCAGCCCATGACGTAGAGTCGTCGGATGAAGGATATTTGTGGTGGGTTAGAATCGGTTGGTCATGGCGTCACGACTTCCTGGTCGGGGCCCGAGAGATAGCTCGAATCTTTGACTAGAAACGTTATCGGATATGGTCGAGAACCGTAATCAATGGTGAACGGGCTGGCGAACTTGCTTTCTTTCTTTCCTTCCCGACGATAGTTGACAAATACTGTCTGAACTTGTTAGATGTGACTGTTTTCATTCCAGATGAAGTTCTTTATCTGTTCTACACCTATATCTTTACTTATAATCTATGTTGTTTTATTATTATTATTATTGTGGCGCATCTTATTGCTTAGTTTTACCTAACCTTCCTTTAAGTGAAATCGAAGCTTTTCTGCCAAATGTTTTATTTTAACATATAGGGTAGCACATTTGTGTAATTTAAGGTGTGTAAAGTATAGATGATTATCTATAAATCTGGTAAAAGTAGAGATAAGATGAAAAGGTCAAACCTGGGGATAGAATATTTATGTTGGTTTTTTTGTTACTTTTAGATTAAGGTATCGATCGATCGATCGATCAGTAAACGGATAATCAATATATGACTGTCAAATCTCTGACCTTAATTGCGTTGGTTTTTTTGGCTGGCTAGGCTTTTTGACATAATATCTAACTTTGTTCTTGGTCTATCCTGCTTTTTCCTTGTTTTTTTGTTTATAATCCCCCTTCCCTTCTATTTATCTCTTTTTTTGCAGTTTGCATTTAACCCAGACCAAATATTGACAACATGTATCAATCATTATTTGAATGATAAAGAACAAAATATTACAGACACAAAAAATGTAATCATTGACAGTAGAACCAATCTGACAACACCAGTGATCACATCATCATCACCTTCAAGAAAATCAATAGTTAATCAATACTTTCCTTTATCCTCTCTGCATCATTCCATAATACGTGGTTTAATTCTAGTCTTATGGGATACACATTGTCCTGGACATATATTAACCCATTTATTTGATAATATATGGTTTTCGTTAGCATTAATTGTCAAATCAATGACGCAATATTTATGTATAAGTAAAAAGATATGGGTAAGTTTATGGATTGATTTATGTATCTGTTCATCTTGTATGCTTTTTATTGTTTGTTTAATTTACCCTTACGACAAAGGTTGTTTGCCTGTGGATGAGACTAAAACCCTTAGAATATGAAGACGATGTAGTCCTTCTAGGCGGGGACGCTGACAAAAGAAACCAGAGTCTTCAGAACACCTTGAGCTGCAATCTACGAATGTTTGGAATGCGATTCTCTCCTGACGTCAAATGTAAGATGATGTTACAGGACTGGACTGGACTGGACTACACTGACTCCTAGTTTAGAAATAGGGAGTGAAGTGGTAGAGCACGTTGACCACTTCACTTGTTTGTGAAATACCATCAGCCAGTGCCAACTGGTTGATCTCTGACGAAATCTCAGCACGGATACAGAGGGCTAGTTTCCCATAAGCCAGTTTACGCCGTCTCTGGCTTAGTAGACGAGATATCCGGCTAGCTATACACGAAAAGGAGTATGTACTGTTCAGCAGTCCGCTCCGTCCTCCTTTATGTATGTGAGTGGCACCTGGCCATTGAGAGTGGAAGACATGAAAAGATTGGCTGTCTTCGATCATAGGTGCCTGCGTCCTATCTCTCGTGTGAAGTGGTTTAATAGGGTGAGCAATATCGAGGTAAAGCATTGATCAAGTGCTGAGTGAGGAGGGGAAATCAATCGACGAGGCTGTGAAATTACATCGACTAAGATGGTTAGGACATGTGTTACATATGCCTAGTCACCGCCTTCCTCGACGGGAAATGTTAGCTGATATAGGGTCAGGCTGGAAAAGAGCCAGCTAGTGGCGGTCAAACCAAAACATGGCTTCACCAGTCAATGAAATCTACAACAGTTAGTCTAAGCCACGTAGGAAGGTGTAGACTTCATGACTGGTTGGGGTCCTCTGGACGGTAAAAAAAACCAATGACGGGCTGGAAGCAATTGGTGACATGGCTCAAAATCATTCTCAGTGGCTAACACAGATGCATCCACTCCTTGTGACTTATGATTTCCAATGAAACTGTTTTGTTCTTCGTTAGAACTATTCCTTTGTCTCACACCTCTGTTTACTGTCTCTATTATGCATTTCTTCTTTTGCTTTGTGTTCTACGTGGATGAAGTGTGGCGACTTGAACTGGTGCACATTGGTGCAAAGTTCTATGTCGAAAACAAGCAGACAGACTAAAAGCAGTTACTACCTATAATGTCGTAATTTGTCTACCCTTTGGGGAAGTCGTACTGTTGACGAATATGCATTTAATAACACTAAGGTTATTATTTCTTTTTTGAGCTCACCAAGCCAGCCAGTTGTGCTGCTTTCTGTCTATATATAGAGAGGTGGGTGTCTTGAAAAGTCGAACCTTAAAAAATTTTAAATCCTCTACTAAAATCAGTTAGTTATCAAGTTTTACTCAATCCTCTAGTGGATTACTCCAAAACCAATCAATATCTTTAGTATTAAGTCTTAAAGTAACATTGTATCAACGGAGGACAACAGTCAGGCAACGGATCGTTTATTGAGAAAATCAACATATATATTTATAGACTTTTGTGTACATTATTATTAGCAGAGAAGCAACGTCTTCTGATTGGTTGTTTTCTTGCTGAAGCTTATTCTGCACTGCTTGTGACTGTTTCTTAGAAAGTTAAGCCGTTTATCTGCGAATTGTATTTGCACACGTTAAGTCAGCAGTGATTGGTTGGTGAGTTCTTCAAGATTAAGCTTTGTTATTGTTTTTTTCTCATGATCTCGATTTGGGACGTAAACATTGACGCGTAAATTGTTGTCTACAATTTTGGCTTGCCGAGAGCTCTCACCACAACATTAGTAGATAATAATAATAATAATAATCTGTGATGTTTTCTCTTTTTGTTTTAATTGTGTTCTTTAAGCTGGTGTTGTTTTAATTGCAAAACTTTCGTTCTCCCAGAGAACAGCTTCATTTATGTGCATAGACTTTTTGATATAGTAATTTCCAGGATATTTTTAGAATTCTTCCCAATTATTCAGCCTCCATTTTCTTTCAATAGGATGAATTCTATTCATAACTTTTAGCCACTGATGATGGAGTTGATTTAAGCCTATATCGAGGTGCTATTTTATATTTACATCTTGTGTATTTCCTGGGAATTCATAAAAGAGGGATTACAAAATCTCAATGAAAATACTGCCCTCACTTCATATTGATGATCAAATGGTTGGCCAGAAAGAAATAGCCAAAAAGCAAGAGCCTACCGCTCAGCAGATATTCCAAAGAAAATAGGAATAGATCGGGCATACACCGGGGAGACCGTCGAATGACATCACATACCAGAGCATTGTTCAAGTGGAACCCTAGTAGGATGTGACGAGTTGGGCATGCGTCTGTGGTTGGCACAGAGGAGATGAAAACTTATAGGCAAACGTAGTGCCAGCCAAAAGAGGAGATGTGCTTTTGAAGCCCCGTATGTACCACTTGGAACCAAAGGGAATAATAATAATAATAGTAGGTGATGATCATAATAATAATAGTTGACTGATTGATTGGTTTCAACGTAGAACTTCGCATCGATGTGCAGCAGTTCAAGTCGCCAAATTTCACTTAGCACACAAAGCAAGAGAAGAAAGTAGAAGAAATGCACAATAAAGAGAGACAGTAAACAGAGGTGTGAGACAAAGGAATAGTTCTAACGAAGAACAAAACAGTTTCATTGGAAATCATAAGTCACAAGGAGTGGATGCATCTGTGTTAGCCACTGAGAATGATTTTGAGCCATGTCACCAATTGCTTCCAGCCCGTCATTGGTTTTTTTTACCGTCCAGAGGACCCCAACCAGTCATGAAGTCTACACCTTCCTACGTGGATTAGACTAACTGTTGTAGATTTCATTGACTGGTGAAGCCATGTTTTGGTTTGACCGCCACTAGCTGGCTCTTTTCCAGCCTGACCCTATATCAGCTAACATTTCCCGTCGAGGAAGGCGGTGACTAGGCATATGTAACACATGTCCTAACCATCTTAGTCGATGTAATTTCACAGCCTCGTCGATTGATTTCCCCTCCTCACTCAGCACTTGATCAATGCTTTACCTCGATATTGCTCACCCTATTAAACCACTTCACACGAGAGATAGGACGCAGGCACCTATGATCGAAGACAGCCAATCTTTTCATGTCTTCCACTCTCAATGGCCAGGTGCCACTCACATACATAAAGGAGGACGGAGCGGACTGCTGAACAGTACATACTCCTTTTCGTGTATAGCTAGCCGGATATCTCGTCTACTAAGCCAGAGACGGCGTAAACTGGCTTATGGGAAACTAGCCCTCTGTATCCGTGCTGAGATTTCGTCAGAGATCAACCAGTTGGCACTGGCTGATGGTATTTCACAAACAAGTGAAGTGGTCAACGTGCTCTACCACTTCACTCCCTATTTCTAAACTAGGAGTCAGTGTAGTCCAGTCCAGTCCAGTCCTGTAACATCATCTTACATTTGACGTCAGGAGAGAATCGCATTCCAAACATTCGTAGATTGCAGCTCAAGGTGTTCTGAAGACTCTGGTTTCTTTTGTCAGCGTCCTCGCCTAGAAGGACTATATCATCTGCATATTCTAAGTCAACGGCACTGTTATTCCCTGGTGGTAACAAGTTAGTCCCTGAGTCGCTGAAGTTAGTACGGTTTAATTTCATTATTACACTTATGATAGAATTAAACACAAATGGGGAGAGTGGGTATCCGTGACGGTTACTACTAATTGTCACACTTCAGACGACAACTGGTTGAAGTTTTCATGAGACTTCATCAGAAATCGACAGTAGTTAAAAATTCATTGAAATTCATGGAGCACTGATGTATAGGTCTTTTGCATTTTAATATGTACATACGCGAAATTTTCTTGGCTGTAATAGGTGGAACTTGAGGTTACAAGTAGTTCAAGTTGTTACACTTCATATAAGACACACGCACACACAGAGGTAAAGAACAGTAACAATAACAATTTCGCTTTATTCCAGAAACAGTACTTGTGGTACAGTGTGGAATTTTCAGCACATATCTACAATATTGCATCTAATTTCATCGTACATTTAAAAGGAGTATTATAAAAAAAATAAATAAAAAATAAAAATAAAAAAACAATAACAACAAAAAACCAAAAAAGAAACACAGAAATAACAAAAAAATCCAATAAAAATACCAAGTAAAAAGGAAGATAAACACAAATAATAAAAAAATATTTCAGTATTGGTTAGTGGAAGCTACGATATGAGTATGCGTGGTGAACAGTAACAGCTATAATCATACGGGAAATTATGAGATGTTCTTAAAAAAATGTTTATAGCCAAGATGATCAGTTAATTTGATTGAACAACACTAAGCAATCATAAGATAAACATTTCAGGTTGTTATTTTTTTTTGTCAGTACTAATGCGGTTGTTTGTAGTGGTAGTGTGAGGAATCATGCATAATACAAAATTTTTTAAGATGGTGATAGTGGCAATAACAAACAAGATTGTCAGTTAAATAGTGCCGAACAAAGAACAACCACAAAACTAATGTTACATGATGGTTAATGACGGGACAATTTTTAATAATCATAGTGATAATATAGTCGGACCCAGTAGATGTACAAAGAAGGAATAGAATAAAGAATAAAAATGTAAGCCAATGATAATAATTTTAAGCAGCTAAGTATGTTTAAGAAGGTTGTTCACTATAGAGTACAAATAAGAGAGTGTAAGGGGGAAATAACAAGGGCCAAAATTATGTTATTAACAACAAAGCAAGTCATAGGTTTCACGCCTAACATTGTCTCTGTCACTTAGAACACGGGCCAAATATGGTATCGTTGAGTTCCTATACTTGGTTGTACGAGCATATATTATTTTGTACTGATTTCTGGTTCTACCTGATGAGATGCAAGGAGAGAGTTGGGAATAGAGGGGGTGTTGGGGGTCAGAGAGTATGGTTTTAGACCATTTCTCACATGTATTCAGATGCTTATCCACTAATGTTGTGACGA